TGTTGTTATACCACAATATAATATTACATACAACAGTGTTATTTTTACAATGTGATATTTGTATACAACAATATCGTATGTTGTTATTTGTACATGATATGTAAAGGTTTATTATTGTTGTAATGTGTGATAATTGTTTTACCACAATATAGTATGTTGTTATACCGCAATATAGTATGTTGTTATACCACAATATAGTAGATTGTTATACCACAATATAGTAGGTTGTTATACCTCAATATATATAGTATGTTGTTATACCACAATATAGTATGCTGTTATACCACAATATAGTAGGTTGTTATACCACGATATATATAGTATGTTGTTATACCACAATATAGGATGTTGTTATACCACAATATAGTATGTTGTTATACCTCAATATAGTATGTTGTTATACCACAATATAGTAGTTGTTATACCACAATATAGTATGTTGTTATACCAAAATATAGTATGTTGTTATACAACAATATAGTAGGTTGTTATACCACAATATAGTAGGTTGTTATACCTCAATATATATAGTATGTTGTTATACCACAATATAGAATGTTGTTATACCACAATATAGTATGTTGTTATTCCACAATATAGTATGTTGTTATACCACAATATATATGGTATGTTGTTATACCACAATATAGTATGTTGTTGTACCACAATATAGTATGTTGTTATACCACAATACAGTATGTTGTTATACCACAATATAGTATGTTGTTATACCAAAATATAGTATGTTGTTATACCACAATATAGTAGATTGTTATACCACAATATAGTAGGTTGTTATACCACAATATAGTATGTTGTTTTCTGTATATATTGACAAAGTTAATTATTGCTATGTAGTGTGATATTGTTTTCATATCAAAATATGGTATGCTGTTATCTGTTTATAATGTGAAAGTTTATTATTGTTTTGTTCACACTGTAAAAGTTTATTATTGCTGTATATAGTGTGATTTCTTATATCACAACATAGTATGTTATTTGAACAGTATGTAGAAATGTATTATTGATGTGTAAAGTATGTGGAACTTTGTAAGTGTTGTTCATTGTGACATTTTTGTTATGACATAGTAAAGTACCTTGTTTGTTATAATCTTATTCATACACAATGTACAATGGTATTTTATATTGGTTATTACATTTGAAGTAATTGTATTGGTTGGAAATGCCTAATGTATTCTATTTGTATACAAAAAGTGCTATATTGTACTTGTATACATGACTTTTTTTGGATTTAGAATTATTATTGGTACAAATGTAAGAGTTGTCTCTCTTTTTTTGTTTAGTTTTTTTGTATCTTTATAAAATTTTTGTAGAATAATGAAGTCCGCAAGATATTTATTTTTTGTCACCTAATATTTCTTTTCGTTGTCCTAAACGTGTTGCATGGGCACTCGGAATTTTATTGATTCATGTAAAGGGGCATTTTTGTTTGTTTTAGTATTATTGTTAGAAAATTATTCATTTTTTGTGTTTTGTTCATCAATATTGACATTGTAATTATTTTTTATGTGTTATATTTCTATTAAACCATTGTTGCATCAACTAATATATATTTTGTTTCATTTTGTTCAATTGAAAAAAATAATTGAAAAAAAATGAAAGGGCCTGTTTCCAGTAATGTTAATTCTCCATAGGAGCCTGCCCCCGTATAATTTCTAATCTAGCTCAACTACTGTTTTTTTCTTTTCCGAAGAATAATTTTACACCTTTCCGACACCCAGATTTCATAATTTCAGTGAAAATGTATTTTTATAAAGTTGTCAATTTCAGCATCAAAGACATAAGTTCGTAAATAAAAGAAGGTTATCTCGAAATTGTAATTCGCAACATAGTATAAATTTCTTTTGATAAATATTTCCAAAACATCGTGTTTATTCATAAAACATAAAAAAA